GTAGTTCCAAATAAATGACTTAAACGTGTTTAAGGTATTATTTTATACAACTGAACTTACTATCTTCTAGAGTTGAATAGTTGTGCACATTTGATGTTGCTGAGATGGTGTTGGACTGCAGTCCACATGATGAAGCCGGATTGTGTCCTGTGTAGAAATGAGATTATTTCCTTATGGAATTTGCTCATGAGGTGACACAGTTGTTAGAGATCAATACATTTTCATAAGGTTATGTGAGAGCGCCAGTTAAGTTGTATTCTGTCTTGACATAGCTTCCTTTATTATTTGTCTTCAGTCATTATCAAGGAGATTTTTAACAGCTTTACAAAAGAGATTAAACTGGTACGGTTTGGTATTGATAATGGTAGCTATTACCATAAAGATTAGAGGAAGAAATTAGACACATGATCAAAACATTTTGGTTTGGACTACTCCAATTTTTCAGTTGAGTTTGTCAGGACTTAATTCAGCGTCATGGTCTACTTTGATGCAAACACAGAAAGTTTAAATGTTCTTAGAGCAACAGTAGGGATTGAAACTGACAAATATGTTCAACCCCCAATTTAGTCAAATATAATTATTTTTGTGTGGTAATGTGCTCAGAAAAACATAGATGTAATTTCCTCTGTTTGTTTATTCTTCCCTGAAAATGTCAAACAACCAATCAGCAGTGTATGTAATAAACAAAGATCCATCATATGTTTCATGATAGAACATAATGGGAAAAAACAAGCAATGAATGAATAAATGCAAAAACACACAAGCGAAAGGCCTATCAAGTAGAGACTGACTAATATAAGCTGCTTATTTCAAAGATCAGCAGAATAATGCTCAGCAACAACCAAGTAGTCAAGTAATTTTAGGTTAGTTATTTTTTCCCTTTGGCAAGCAAACAGCAGGGTTATTTGGCTCATTTGAAAGCCAACTTATCGCAATTCCGAGTTTGCCACGAAATATGCCAAACTGAATTATATATGTTCAAACGGTAAAGCACATATGTTTGGAAATTAAAAAGCAAAACAAAACACAACAGCTACATTTTCTTTTCCTCACCCAGCTACAACACAGTTCCCATGGCATGACTGAGGATGTCTCCATGTTTGTTTTGACATGACTTGCTTTGACAAGATGTGGCCACTCTTGATTTGGAAAAAAAAGGTCTTTGAATAGTGTTGAAGCTCTTGCCCATCAAGTGCCTGTCTAACACAATCCTTTCCATCGTTCTCTTGCTTTTGGTTACTTCATTTTCAACTTCACTCATTACCAAGAAACAGTTGGAAATTAACCCTTTCACATCCTGCTCAGGTTTTATTAATAAAAAGGCAGTGTGGTTTTCAAACAACTCATGGAACTGTGGTCCATATTTGTACCCTGGGAGAGTTACTGAGGAAGTTTTGGGGGTTTGATCATCCAGTTGCTTTTGCAAGCTAAAAAGACGCCTGTATAACAAAAGCAAAAAAGCTGTGTACGCTTTCTTAGCTTTAGCTTGAACTCGTCTGCTGATTGTCATGATCCTGTTTGTGATTCTCACAGACAGGAGGGTGTCTGGGTCGGGAACCTCGGGGTCACGTCTCCACTTTTATTTCAGATGATATGGTGCTATTGATATGGTGCTATTAATTTCTTCAAGCCATAACCTTCATGCGTGCGCTGGAATGGTCTACAGTGGAGTGTGAAGCGGTCGGGATGAAAGTCAGGACGTCAAATCTGTGCACGTGACACTCAGCCGGAAAAATGTGTAGGAAACTCCCTTGGAATTGAGGATGAGTACCTGCTTCAGAGCTTAAGCACATGGGCCTCTTGTTTAGCGGTAAGGATAGGTAATAGCAACCTGTGGTTATGAGACCTGGGTGGTGAATAATGGTTGAGGTCACTGATACAAGCAGTTGGAATGGGTTTTTTCTTCAATGATGGCTGATGATCTTCAGACAAGGTGAGGAGCCTGGCCATTAGAAGAGAACTCAGAATTGCCCCTTCTTTGTTTGAAAAGGAGTCAGCTGAGGTGGATGGGACTTCTGGTTAAGATACCTAATTGGCTGCCGTCCAATTAGGTTTTTTGGGCACATCTAACTAAGAGGAGAGTTTATATAGAGTGCTTGGCCTGGGATTGCATTGGGATCCTCCAGGAAGAGTTGGAATGTGTTGCTGGGGAGTGTTGCTGCCTCTGTTACTCAACCTCAGATAATAGGAAGACAATAGATTGATGGGTTTGTGTTTACTATAAACGAAATTTATGAATGTATGGCAATTGTGAAATAAATGGTTTAAAGTGACCATCGCTCCATTTTATCCATTTCCTTAAGGTTGATATGTGCGTGTTTGTATTTGTTTTGTGTGTTCAATGGTTTGCATGTTACCCTTTTCACTATTGTAAAGGCACCAATGCAACATATTTCTTGTCAGTGATTCTAAGAAGCATTCTTGACCCTAATGCTATGATTTTCTTTTTCTTTTGGTACAGAACCTCGTCTGCTGACATATCTTTACTTTTTGAAAAATTCCCTGATGCTAATTAACACCAAACACTTACTTTCAATTAAAATAGTGAGATAAAACCACGTTCCATGTTACCAGGTCATGATTGATATGTTATTAATAGTAAACCAGATCTGTTCTATATTTTACACGACTCTAATTTAAAAGGCTAACAAATCATTAAATTATATCTGTGTTAAATAGTGTAGGAAGATCCTGTCATAATGATTTACAGTCTGAAACAGATATCTGTCTTTATCTTTGGTACTACAGGCAAGTAATTGTTCAGCAGTTACATAGCTAATAACTCTCCCTTTAACCTTACAGCTAAGCCAGAAATTATGGTTCTGCAACGAAAATGAGAAACCAAATCTATCTAATTTTAGTTTGCAATGAATGAATTCATTTTTTCAGATGATTTCCACAACAAATATGTATTGGTAAACAGAAATGACGAAAAGAAAAATCCCAAACAACATATACATATTCATCAATATTAGTTCAAGAGCGCATTACATATCCATATGTAAATTTGCCCAAAAATAGAACCTTATAATATGAACAACATATCCAACTGAATGAACGTAGAAGTATATATAACCTCAGATATGAGGCATCTTATGAAAGTGTATGAATCAGTAACACTTATTTATTCAAACCCCTTCGCCCTCCTATTGCCTGTTTCATAAATAGTACACTTCCTGTTTCCTGTTTGACTACTATGCTTATGATCCAAAATTCACAAAAAACACAGACAGACAGACACACACCCACACACACGCGCGCACACACACACATATATGTTAATGTTGTTTTTATGTGTTTATGTGTTTATGCATTTTAACAGATGCTTTTATTCAAAGGGACTTACAACATATATATAATACTACTACTACTACTACTACTAATGATAATAATAATTATATATATATATATATATACATTAATATGGCTTGCCCAATATTGTGTACATATATCCTTCTTATGATGCCAAATATGGTTTTTACCAGTTACACAAGTGGATGAAGAACATTTGAGTGTTTCTTAGAGTACATAGATATTCTGCACATTATGATATGTGCAGTTGGGTTTTACCAACTTGGCACAAATTGCCACAGGTGCGATCGGTAACTGGGGAAGTTGGAGACTAATTGGATACCTCAGACTGATCTACATGTCCTGGTGACCACTGTTGCCATTTTGGTAGTGATGAGTCTTAAAAACAATTTTATCTAGCAAAATATTTTTTCTTAACATGCGGAGGAAGACAACAAATGTTTTTCCTGCCAGTGGTTATCTGTCCACAGGAAACAGTTACAAAATATTTAGAAATCTTAAAAAAACATAGTGGCCGGTCTGGATTATTATTTTTTTTTTTTGCCCATTGGCACCTCCTACTGTTATTGGAGATATCACTAATGTAATAAGATCTCACCAAGAACCCCTAATTTATACACATTTGTTTGTTGTTGAAGATGCCATAAAGATGATGCAAAAAAACAACAAAAAATGTAAAATGATCTATATTGTGTTGAGCCAGAAAGCTGAGATATATCTAAACTCCAGGCCCATTTAAAACATGGAAAAAATTCAAATAAAAGTCAGTATCATATCAAGTTAGACACATGTGTACGCTCCTGACTAATTAAACACAAGATATACAGCAGATTGAATGTGTTGGGCAATATGTTTTTTTCTGAAATTATTAAATTGATCGACACTGTAGTTCTGTTGAGTAGGTCAAGCCTATATTATTTGGATTCTGTGGTGGTGGCATGTAGTGACAATATACATTTTTCCATCATCTATAGTTCAGATAGTTGCAGTCCATGTAAACATGTTAAAATTGACATCGGAATTGGTGGGTTGGTAATTGATTGATGGCAGACTACAGAATTTGCAAACGTCTTGAGAAGATGGGACAAGCTTACATAGATATGTGTTGCTAATTTGATTTTTTTCCTGTAACCTATTGCTGGTCATATTTATCATAATATGACAGATGAAATATATTTGAAACCTATCAGTGTGTGAAACGTCAGAGAAATGACAGTTTGCGATATGGTGCCTTGATCACCTGTTGAAGGGATGACATTTTAAACTGTGATTTAAAAAAATGTTCCAATATTGCACCAATTATTTTTTTGTATTAAATACAAATTTCATAGACACAAGTTACTCTGCCACATTTATTTCCACGAAGTTTCTTCTCTTGGTTTGAGAGTTAATCACCTTTCTTAGAAACGCTCTATTTTTTTTTCATCAGTTTGACGAGCGCTTCCATTCCTCCGCGGGGGTGGACAAAATAATCCAATTTTCTTAAACCGTCATGCGGTCTGATATTTAGGCCAGGACTTGGAGACATTTACATATGTTTTATAATTCTCGTTCTCCCGGTCGTGGCTGACTAACAGCACACTTTAGACTGCTCTAGGCACTATTTTGCTTCCTGATGAGCGGCGCGGACCCCTCTGCTGAGCGCTGGTGGAAGAGGCTGGAATAACCTTGGTGTGAGCTAGTCGAGCGGCCGGAGAGAAGAGCGAGAGGCTGAATGGTGAGGCGGTGTAAGATCGGCGGCTGCTGGCGTGAACATGGCGGAGACGGTGCGCTCGCTTTTCGAATACCGAGAGCCTCACAGCGACGGAGAAGGCGTCAAACCGACTCTGTTAACACGGGGGTGAGTTCGTTAATTGTGACATACGTGACAAGAAACAACTGTTTCACGGTACCGCCGCTACTACCCGTTAGCGGACTCGAGTGGGTGTGTGCGCGCCCGTAAGGGTGTTTTTAATGGAACTAAAGTTATTGTGACTCGTTTCGGTCCAGTTTGTCACTGGGCAAACGCCGGACCGAAGGACGTTCATGTGAAAAACTTGTTTGCCTCAGGCTAGCTTGTTTTTTTTTTAATTTTTTAAACGTTAATTCCACCTTGCAGTGTATCTCGACAGAGGCGTGTGCGCGCGTGCGCAACTTTGCGTCTGTTTTGTCTGACAGTGAATTCACCTATTTTAACAGAATGTGTGTGTCTGAGTGACGTGTGACGAAAAGATAACGAATACTGAACAATTTCAGCTACGCGGACGTGACCCGGACCGAACGACCTAACGCTCCTCACTTTCTCAGGTGAGCCCTCGGGGCTGTGGCGTGATAACCCAATACACCGCGTTAGCCTTATACGACGGAAGTTTTCAAGAACGTATTCCAAATCTTCTTTGTGCCAAAGTTGTTTAAAAGAAAGGTTGTAATGAACATACTGTCAGCGCGGCCCTGTGTGTGCGTGAATGTGACTGTAAGTGTGCGCTCGTTCCTGTCTGTCGTGCGCGCGCTCACGTGTGTGATTGTGTGAGAGTGGGAGAGACAGACAAACTCTTCCTCTCTCTCTCTCTTACACACACACACACACACACACACACACACACACAGGCACACACACACACACACATACACACACACACACAGGCACACATACACACAGGCATACACACACAGACACACACACACACAGGCACACACACACACACATACACACACACACACACAGGCACACATACACACAGGCACACACATACACACACAGACGCACAGGCACACACACGCGGGGAGGGGAGAGAGCGTGAGAGAGAAAGGAGCAGCTCCGTGTGTTTGTGTGTGTTTCTTGTGTGTATACGTTCATAGGGTGTATGCGTGCGAGTGTGTATGTTACAGCCCAGAGAGGGAGGGTGTGTGCGTCTGTGTGTAAGTGTGTGTGTGTGTGTGTGTTTGTAAGGGATGGGAGGGGGAGAGAGTGTGCGTGACAAGAGTGTGTGCGAGTGAGACAGAGATGAGGAGAGGGAGGGGGAGAGCAGTGTGCAAGGAGTGTGTGACAAAGAGAACATAAGTGTGTGTGAGTGCGCGTACTTGTGTGTGTTTGTGTGTGGTTGAGGGAATGAGTAAGTGTGTGTGTGTTGGGAAGACAGGGTGTGTTTGAGAGAAGGGGAAAATTGTGTTTTAAAATGTGTTGTTCAAATTGTTTGGGTCCGTCCACTTGTCTGCCTGATTGTTTATGTGTGAGAGAGAGCTGGATTGAAATGGAGGAAAGGAATAATTGTGTGTGCGAGTGTGTGTTCGTGGAAAAAGAGAGTGGGGAATAAAGGTGTGTTTACCGTGTGAGGCAGAGGAGAGTGAGGGTTGTATGAGGGTGTGAAGGACGTGTGTGTGTGTGTGTACGTGAGAAGAAGCATATAAAAAGTGTATGTGTGCGTGTAACAGACAGAGATAGAGGGGAAGTGTGTTAGAGGCACATAGTAGGGGAGGAGAGTGTGTGTGCCTAGTGTGTGTGTGTGTGTGTGTGTGTTCAGGGAGTGGGGGAGGGAATGTGAGTGTTTGTTTGTGTGTGTTAGAGAGAGTGAGGGGGGGAAGTGTGTTTGTGTGTGAGCATGAAGGGTCGTATGTATGTGTAACCAAATGTAGGATTGGTAAGAGGAGGGAGACTGTGTGTGCGTGTCGGTTGTTTTGGTGTTAATTGTGTACGTGTGTGTCTGAAGAGTGAACCCTGTCTTTTTGGGCCATGAAAGATGGGATGATAAAAACATTGGTGTGGGAAAGAGTGTGTCTGTCTTTAAGAAACTAAGAGGTGTGTGTGTGTTTGTAATGGACAGAGGAAGGGAGGTGTGTGTGTGTGTTTGAGTGAGAGAGTAACAGTGTGTATGAGAGTAAGAGAAGATGGAGGGTGTGTGTTGCAGAGAGAGAGAGAGAGCGCATAGTGCCTGTATGTGTTTAAGAGAGAGTGGGAGAGAGGAAAAGAGAAGGGAGGGAGTATGACAGAGGGTGAGGATGTGTGTGTGTGTGTGTGTGTGTGTGTGTCTGTGAATGTGTGTGTGTGCAATCACTTGCATGCATGCAAGCTTTTGAAACAGAAGGGGTTGGGTGTGTGTGTGTCTTGGAAACTGAAAAAGAAGGCTTGGTAGCTAGTGCATATGCCGCATGTGTGTCTGTTTCTGTGTTTGTGTATTTGCTCTGGAAGGAGGTGTGTGTGTTTGTGAGTGTATGTCTGTCTGTGACTGTGTGTGTGTGTGTGCATTTCTTCTGCAGTGAGTAAGAAAGGGAGGGGTGTGTGTCATGGGGGAGACAGACACAAGGTTTGTGCATGTGTTTGTGTTTGTGTGAGTATGAGTGTATGTAGCTCCTAGACAAGGGCAGTGTGTTTGTGCGTGTCATACAGAGGGAAGGAGAGTGTTTATGCATCTACTTTGTTTATGAAAGAGGAAAGGACAGTGTGTGTGTGTGTGTGTGTGTGTGTGTGAGTGTGAGTACGCATGCTCAAAGGAAAAGTATCTTTGTGTGGGTGGTATGGTATATGTGAGAAGGTGGGGAGGATGGTGTGTGTTTGTGTTTGCTTTATTATTGAGGATTCTGCGTGTGTATGTGTGTGTTAAAGAGACAACACTCTGCATGAAGGATGAATAATGTGTGAGGCTTTTTTTTTTGCCTGAGTTTGTGCGTGCGATTGATTGTATTTGTGTGGGGCCCTAACCTATGTGGAGGGAGCAGCAGAAACAGTTGCATGACAGGAGGTTGCGTCCGTGTGTATCCACCAGCACACCCAGTGTTTGTTTGCTTGTGGCTGAGGAGGAATAACTTGTTTGATGAAGCGTGTGTGTGTGTGCGTGACACATAGCGCAGGATGAAATATATGGCAGCAAACTTGCATGAGTATGAGAGCTGTGATGTGCAGATTCAATACATGCATGCATGCCTTTGTGTTTGTGTGTGTGTGTGTGTGTGTGTGTCTGTGTGTGTGTGTGTGAGAGTGTTTCAGAGATGGAACATGAGACTGTGGGTTAGGTTATTTGAGAGAGAGAGAGAGAGCGCGAGAGAGAGAGTGAGTGTGTGTGTGTGTGTGTTTGTGCTTCAGTGAGCTTTCCTATGGTGCGTGTGTATGTACATGTGAGCTTTAGAGAAAGGGGGAGGGGTGTGTGTGTGCGTGCATGTGAGCTTGGCTAGAGAGAGGATATTTGTGTGTACTGTATGTGAGTGTCAGTGAGTGTGTTTGCGTGCCTGTAAGTCTGAGAGGGAGGGGTGTGTGTGTGAGAGAAAAAGAGAGAGAGAGAGAGAGACTGAGCGCCTGTTTGCGTGCCTCTGTATGTGTGGGTGTGTGTGTTAGTGCACGCATGTGGGCCAGGGAAGGGGAGTTGTGTGTGTGTGTGTGTGTGTGTGACCATGCGTGTGACTGTGTGTGCGTGTGACTGTGTGTGTGTGTGTGTGTGTGTGTGTGTGTGTGTGTGTGTGTGTGTGTGTGTGTGTGTGTGTGTGTGTGCGTGCACATGTGGACTCTGTGAGCTCTGTGTGTATGCTCATGCATTTGTGGAGCCAGAGTATGAGCTTTTTGTTTGTGTGTTTGTGCATACATGTGGGTTGGTGGGAGGAACCTCTGTGTGTGTGTGTGTTATTTAGAATGAAGGAGGTGAAGAATGAGAGAATCGATGGAGAGCGTGAGACAGCAGGAGATGGGAATGGAGGGAGATGATGATGGGTCAACTGGCTGAAGAGGTGGCACAGAGACAGATTTAGTTGGCAAAAGGAAACTTCAGAGAAACTCGTCGAACTAAAAGTAAACAGACAAGCGCTCAGAAGTCTCTAAATAAACCAGGAAAAGATGAACGAGGCTTTTCCCGGAAATGCTGTTAACCTGTTGGATCACTGTGTGGCGTAAAGCTGCCTGGCTGAGCAACTGTTGCTGCGTTGTTGAACTAACCAGTTTTATAACAGAATGTCTTTTGTGCATAATTTGATACTAATTGTATGCAGCTCCATCTTTTTATAGATTTATTAATTTCATTGTTGATTTTTTTGGGTGCTTTTTATTTTTTCTTCCTAGGGCTCATCTAATCTTCATGGTGTGTAATTATAGTCTGTTGAGTCTGGTCTACGAGTGTTTTGAGTGTTGGAGTGTTGGAGATGTATTTTTTTATCTCTTGTTTTTTATACACGTTTCCTCTCAGAATGAAAACATTGTTTTGTGACTTCCACACAGGACTAGGTGTGAATAAATGAAAACATCAACACCAAACAGCAGTCTTTTGCAGAGATGTTCCAAAGCGTAACTTGTAACATCCAACTGGCTGTAACAAAATTATTTTTTACCGATGCTAATGATACAGACTGCAGCATTTCTTTGGGTACTTTGACTTAAGTGGGGAAATAAAACACAGCAATTTAAAGAAAGCAATTAAAGGATTCACAGCAGAAAAAAAAGACACTCAAAGGTGTTAATGCCACTACTCGAATGGTAATGCTAATATTGGCAGATACTGGAATTTTTTCCAGTGGTGTGAGATCCGTCATCACCCACCACCCCGTTTGATGGACGTTGCTGTACAGTTATGTGTGGATATACATGTGAATGTGAGCATGAAGCTAATCACTGACTGATCTAATAAAGTTGGTTGAAACGGGGTGGAGAAGTAAGACAAAAACAAACAGCTGTAGTTTAAGTTTGCCAAAGAAGATATGAGAAAGCTAACATCATTATTCTGCTTGGTTTTCTGTTTAATGAGAAACATCGGAGTTGAGAAAAATGACGGTTTTTTTACTTTACATGTTTGGTTTGCTGTCTTATACTCATTGACAGTATTACAGTTTTTAATTAATTCGTAATTTTTTTGATTGAATGCAATAAAGTGAAAATTGTTTTCACCCGTGAATTGTATGCACTCCTACCTAATTATTGAATGAAGTGTGTTTGAAATAGTAGATAAACCCAACAGGTAGCATTTTATATAGCTGAAATGCTAGAGATCTTAGCGAATAGTATGATTTTCTATACGATTTTTGCATCAATTTGTCATAGCCTGATGAATTGCACACATATCACATGTTTTTTTATTAGTATTACTCACATATGAAGCTGATCTTTGGACATAAATGTGCAAATAACTGTCTGAAGTGCAGCAGTGTGCTTGACATATGAGCGTGTGTTGCCGCAGAGCATTTTTGGAACAGTGCTGTCCTGGTTGTCTCTGATCATTACATGACCATGTGATTTAAACAGTGTTGTGATAAGTTGAGTGCTACAATTGACTGGACCATTAAAGATAGAGAACTTCAGTTAATATTGCCTGCCTCCCTCCCCATGCCGAAGTGAATAACACGATTGTGTATTTTTTCATTTTCAAAGCAGAGATTTGCTTGTTGGCTGTCTACAGATGTGTGAGCACAATGACAGACGTGCTCTGTTAGACGCAGACATGTATACACAGGAACGTGATTGTAGACGGGAGTGGAATGGATCGATAGAAACGCAGTGTGTTGGGTTTGAAATCTCTGCTAAAGGCTCATCACCATGTCCCCCCCACCCCAGTCCTTCGCCTGCATCACTCTTCTGTCCCAATCTTTTTTCGTCTGTCTTGACATCCGATTCTTTTTTTTCTTCCCCCCATCGTACTCATGTCTGCGTGCGGAAACACAGGCATGAAATCTCAGAATGAAACTTCAATATCCAGAGCACAATCTTCCTACGGCCTTGTTTCAAGAGACTCCGATGTGGTGTGTGTGTGTGTGCGTGCGTGGAAAAATAGACCAGAATGGAAAAACAATATTGAGATGTGTGGTAACAGAACTAGGCCAGATTCAACAGAGGCGGGATCAGTTGGGCTCTTCTGAGTGCGGCTGTTTTGGAAATGATTTATTCTGAGGAAGATAATCCGAGTTGTTCTCTCTGGGCTCACACAGGTAGCTGCACTCAAGCTCTCTGAGGTCAGTAGCCACAGTGCTAGCACATAAACACAAACTGCTGATGTAGGTGTTCAAAGGCTAGTCCTCATCTTCAAATTTCATGGACCAGGATTTTTTTCAAGACGAACTATGATTTCAAACTGTAGAATTTACTTACTGACTACCTGTCTGTTATTAACAGGAAGTTCTCTCCCCAAAAGGGCAGCTTACATCCTGAAAAACTGTGATTTAATTGTACCAGTGGGAACTTTTGTAGTTGTAGTATAAAGAGCATCCTACACTGAATTCCAGAAGTGTTTTCTTCCAAAACAATACAATGAGCTCCAACAACAGCATTCACAGCGCTGAGGAGCTAAATCTGTCAGTTGCAGAAAGTCAGTGTTAGTGTGTGTGGTCATTTTGCCTTTCTGCCTCCCAGTTCTCTCAGTGAAAGGTGCCACGAGAAGGTCATGACCTGTGTAGAGCGCTGCAGCTCATCAGCGTCTTGGGTTTTTCTTCTTTTTTAAAATTCTTTAATCTGCAGAATCCAGAACTTCTCACTAATCAAAACTCCAAGAAGAGTCATCATTGAAGATGGGACTTGAACTTTGATTTTAGAGGAATAAACGTATTCATGTTGCTGTTTCCTGTTTTTATCGACTTATTTATTTTCCTTTTGAACTGGCAAACCTCAAGTAGAGCTCACCCCTCATTTCAAAAGTTAGGGTACCGCACAAAACTATTTTAGATGTGGACCAAAATGGATCGCGAGGATTCAGAATTCTCTTCGACCGCTTGTTTTTCTTTTCATTTTTTAACTTTCAGGGAAATAACAAAACAAAGCAAAACAAAAAAAGAAAGTCAAATGTTCCCTCTCCTCCAGTCTGAAGGACACAACATCCACGATTTTTAATAAATAAACAGTTCAGATTTGATTTGTCTAAGCTCAGAGCTTCCCCTCAGTTCACCGTAGCAGAGCTGCGGCCCAGACCACGGTGCTCCTGGACCATCTTCACGTTTCAACATTTGATTTTTGCTATGTTTATAATGAATAAAAATGTGTTAATTTTTTATTTAAATTCAATGCAACATTCCAGCCTTTTTGGAACTGTCCATAAAAACTGTGCAGGGACTTTATAACCATTCCTGTTTACTTGCCCTGAGGGCTCAGTAATGGAAATGTAGTGTGCAATGAGTTTTAAAACCAGAATATTTTGGAATTAGCTTTATTTGCCTTTGCCTGAGCTGATTTCCTCAGTGATTCAGCATCCAAAACCCTATTTTAGAAGTATTTTACTTACACTGTCTTTTTTTTATTTCAGTTTTTATGTGATGTGTAAAGATGTAAACACAGCGTATTGACCCATTAGAGGGCCATCAGCTTATTGATAACTCTCCCTGTCCTGATTGATTTTAATTGTGGTTGCTTGGTTCATCGATTAAATGATAATCACATATTTTTCTTTTCTCCCTTTTTCTTGTTTTGTTTGCGCTTGTGTGTGTTTTTTGCAGGCGTGGATGTGGACGGAAAAGGAAAGGCACACCTGTGAAAGTGTTTGTCACTCACACTGAGGAGGAGATTGTGTCCGAACACGGCTGCAGCATAGGTGTGTGCGCTTCATACAGTTTCAAAATATTCTAGCCAACTACTGTTAATGTGTGTGTATTTATTTGGAGTGGTGTGTGCATCTGTTTGTGTGCTTAATTGGTGTGGGGGTGGATAGTGTGTAAGTGAATGACCTACTTTTGTGCTTGTGTCTGGATGTGCGTGCTTGGCAACGTTGAGTGTTAGTGTATGCATCTCAGCGTGTGGGGTTATGACCCGTGTGTGTGTGTGCGTTTTAACGTGTTCCTACTTTGTAATCCTTTTACGCTGACTTTATTCGCAGGTAACCGTAAGGATGCTGGAGAGACTAAACAGCCCTCACTGGAAGGGCCCTTCTACAGCCACGATCCTGCCCCTCACAACTGGTAAGGGGAACATTTTAGCACATTAGTTGCTTCAGGGAGCAATACATTTTAAATAATTATTTAAAAAAGAAGACTCCTTTACTTATCTTAACTTGGTCCCTTACCCCAGTTCTTGGTACCTGCAAACCTTGTTTGTTTTAATTTGATCCAAATAATCATACAGACTTGTCGCTGAGATGTTAGAAGAATGAGGTTTACTGGAAGAGAAATCCACACTCTGTTGGGTAGAAACTGACTGGTTTGAAGCGCTGGAACAAGTTTATATACATGGATTTTTTTCAAATTCAATGCACTGACTACGACACAAACGGTTTGATTTAAATGTGTCTTTTGGGCAAGTCGTGATAAATTGGAATCACTGAAAAGAGTGAAAATTCAAATTGCAATATATTTGAGCTTCATCGTTTCTACTCATATAATTATATAACAAAAGTGGAGACAAATTGAATATAGAGTGCTGGATTTAAAAAGAAAAAAGTGGGAAAAAAAGAAAAAACTTATTCAAGGCTTTCTCTTACTAACGTAGCACTTGATAAAATGGAACCACTTATTTGTTTTGATAGCTGAGTGAAATGGTTTATGGGCAACAGCAATTATTTTTTTAATAATAAGAACTCTCTGTAAACAAACAGCAGTCCGTCAGAGCAGACTCAAGAAAAAATGTCTGCTGGATCCAAGGCCAGCTGTTGCTCTGCCTCCACACCAACTCCAGCGGCCTCCTCGGCCCCGGCCCTGACGCCCGTGCCTGCTCCTGCCCCGACCACCACAGCCTCGGCTCAGTCTCTTTCTCTGACCCCTGCGTCCACTGCTCCGGCTGCCCCCAAAGCCTCTGCTCCAGCTCCAACTGCCAGCTCCTTCCCTCCCTCACCCAACTGTCGGATCCGCGAGGTCCACTGTGGCAGCCAGGTCCGATTGGTTGTAATCGCCATCCGAGATATCACAAAGGGGGAGGAAATCACCGTGGACTACAGCCTGACAGAGTGGGGGGAGAATTTGGTGAGTGCCAACAAGTGTGTGCAAACAGTAAACAGTAAACGCTGGTGGTCATTACCTTTGACCAGCTGCATACTCTTTGCTTTAATACGTCAAAAAAATATGGTGTTATCCAAATGTATTGTCATGTCATAATATGATAATAATTAGACCAAATGAAGGCCATTAAAAAATAAAAAAGTCAGATAATTGTAGGTTAAGTTGGGAGAAATTGTCTTTAAAAAATAAACTGCTAGCTGGTCCATTTGAAATGGGCCATCCTTTCTCCCAGTTGATTATTAGTTTCAAAGAAAGAAAAGAAATTATGTTTGCACTTAACAGTTTATTAGTAACTCACGCAGTGCAAATCCTTATTTAGATCGGAGCTCTGAACTCTGTTTTAGAATTGTTTTGGTCTTCAGGTCCTGATATGTGTGTGTTTGTGGCCTGTTAAGGCGGACTTCTAAATAACTGAAACTGCCCCTGGTTGGCGAGTTAGATCTGCTGTGCTGATCACAAAGCAACAAATGACTGCTGTGCTAATGCAAAATCAGTTCATTTTACACAATTGCAATGTTGGTGGGTGTTTCTGTTTGTGCCTATAACAAACACCTGTAACTGTATCTAAAATCCAAATGCGTATAGGAACTCTTTTATGGCTCTTTTTAGGGGTTATCTGTTGAAAAAAATAATTTCCTGTTTAAGCCCTGCAGGTAAAGACCCTTTAAAGAACCAGGCTCCTGAAAAAGGTTTCCTAAGGTTGAGAAGCAGCTTTATTCTGTCCTCAAAAGTGTTGAAATGCACTAAAACCGAGTATTTAATGACTTTGGATTGCCTCCATGTGTGTATTTGATGGCTGCTGATAAGCTTCAGTCACTGTCTGTCTCATGCACACACTTGCATGAACCACCACACACACAACTGTTGTACACTGACAAGGCATGGGGTTACCATGGTGATGGCCGAGCTCCAGCACTCTTTCTACCTATAGTGCTTTAGCAACAGTAACCATGGTTATTACATGACATCTGTTCCCTTAATGGATCCCATTATATTGGATCAATTTACTCTCCCAAATGATGATACCAGAATCCATTTTATAAAATTAAATTTAAAATCGAAAAAGTGACTTCAGATGTAGAGGTAGAGCCAAGGCTGCTCACAGTTCCTTCAATTTGAATACAATGCAAGGACTAAAGTTATGTTTTTTTTTTTTTTTTTTTTAACTATATGCAGTTGTGGGATGAGTTTGAAAGTTTCTTTTGAAAGCCCAGTGTATTTTTTTAAAACTTCTTTTGTTTGGCTGCTCGGCGGCAGATTTGCAGTCCTAATCAGCCTATGTGCTTACAACCAGCTAAACACGGGTGTTTTCGTGCTCTAAGAGTGACAGCTGCGGCTGATTGTAATGGCATCCATTAATGAGCAGCGTGCTGGCTGCTGTAATGCCAAGTCTCTGTGTTCCACAGGGTTTCCGGGCCACTGTGTCTCCAGCCCAGCAAGAGTGTTGCTCTGACCCTGAGAATAACAGCATCATCAAAAAGGTAAGAATTAAAAAGCAAAGAAAAAAGAAAGCCTTACCACCAAGTGCCTTAGGAAGCTAACCTCTCTGTAATACAAGAACAGCACATATCAAAGAGACTATATGGTGGGTATATCGGGTAGATGGATGACAGACAGACAGACAGAGATGGATTGATAAATAGATGGATGGTTTGTAAAATCTGACAACATTTCTTGCTATAAATGATAAACGCACGCATTGTGTCTGATTCCTATGTCTGATGTGTTTTAAACTGTCAGCCTTAATATGTCTTCTGGTTTGAAGCTAATTAGACTGACTTCTAATGTGTAATAATACACTTCCTTATAGTGCGGCAAAGCAAAGTTGTTGAAATGTAAGATCATTAAAATCCAGCGTACTCAGATTGAATCAGACAACCTGTTGAAGCAAAACAACACTATGGTGGAAAACTAATGATGGGGTGCCGACAGCAGTCACTTCAGAGGACATAAGAGACGCTAAAGACTCAGAAGGGGGAGTTACACATGCACTTTATGTTGAGGTGGGGTATACCATTTGTTTTGCGTAGTTACATAATAGACCGTGACCACAAAAAGTGAGAACTTCACAGAGACAGTGTCTTCTTTATGTTATCACAGCAAATGAGTGTGTTCGGTCTGCACCTCAACGTGAACCTGCACACATTCTTTTTGTCCATTATTCATTGTTTTATAAGCAAAACCTCTTTCCTCTCCAGGAGGAGGAGCCTCTGTCCCTGACAGGTCAGCAGCAGCGGCTCCAACAGTATCAGCAGCAGGAGTACGTCACCCCTTCTTGGTCCCTCTCCCCCTCCTCCTCTCCCATCTCGCGCTCCGACGCCAGCGACTCAGACGCTGGAGACGAGGACTGTAGCCCGCGTGGGCGTGCTCTCCGCCAAAAGAAGAAGCGCCGTAGCGCCCCCACGAGGAAAAAGACCCCGCACCGGACGCCTCCCGGGCGCCCCCCGTTGCCGTCCCCCTCCACCTCTCCTGCTCTCAGCCGTCCACTTGCTTCCTCCCATCCTCCAGCGGAGTCCTCTCCCTGCTCATCGTCCTCCTCTAAGCCTGCCTTTAAGCACCCATCTCCTCTGGGCTCTGGCGGCACAGGAAATGTCCCAAATGCTCCGAAGGGGGGAGTTTCCATCGACTCCGTACGGCAGACCTGTGAATACTGCGGGCGACACTTTCGCTCCCTCGGGCGCCACCTAGATAAGCACCACGCCCACCAGCCGGATGTGTGCTCCGCCCTGGTCGAGCGCTACACACAGTTGCCCCGCATGCCCAACACACTCTCCAGTACAGTGTTGGCCCACGCTGACCAACACGCAAAGTTCTCCCACGCAAGAGGGCAGAGAAGCGGCAGCGACCCCCTGCACAGTGGCGCCCAAGACCTGACGGTGTCTCCGCCCACTCTCACCTCAGCCAGCCAGTCTCCTGCCCCCTCTGGACGGAGCTCCGCCCATCCTGTGCTGACTCCTCCCCGAGGACAGAACGCAGTGCCGGTGTCTGTCTTAAAGAGGAGCCCACCCCCTCTGGCTGTGACCCAGTCCAGGAAGGGATCAGTGAGGGGAATGAAGAAAGACCCACTGGTGGAGGAAGTCAAGGAAGAAGAAAATGATGAAGATGTGGAGGTCGTAGCAGTAAAAAGGCCTAAAAATGAAGAGCTAGTGCACCCTCAGTCTTTGCCCAGCCAATCAGCCAAAGAGATGGAGCCACTGAAAGAGGAGGATGTGGACGAAGAAGAGGTGGATGAGGAGGAGGAGAACGGAGTGATGGAGGTAGAAGATGAAAGTGGGACAGAGGAAAAGGAAAAGGAGCTGCTCAGGTAAACTCAATGCCTTGCACTTTGGTAATTGATGCCCTTTGATTGATTGTTTTTAATCATCCATGGAGCCAATTCAGGGTCAAAATGCTTGTTCATTTAAAGCATGAAAATGTTGTTTTTTAACTAAAGTATAACTTTAATTTTCAAATTTGAAAGCCAAAACAGTTTCCTCAGTATGTTTTTTTAAAAACTTTTATACAAAAAGACAGATTGAATGAACAGAAAAGATTCGAATATGTAACTCGTACCATAGTATCGAGGTGTCACTTAAACTTTTTTAATGAATTTACGTGATTTCTGGTCTCCAGAAAAGTTTTTAGTATATAGTGATAAATATTCATATTGGAAAATGTTACCCAACGCTTGTTCAGTGAGAACTAAAGTCCCCTTTGTGTCTTTGGCTCAGCGGTTCTGGACGACACCACATGCTGCCTCTCCTCTCGTCCTTGTCCTCTTTGGTTCTGTACCTCCGCCGGCTCCAGCACTCGGCCTTTTTGTCCCTGTCCCGACAGCTGCAGTCTGCAGAAGCCTGGCGCCTCCTCTGCCACTCCAGCCTGGCGCTTCTCATCCTGTATAACCGGCGGCGCGAGTGTGAGGTCTCCAAGCTGTCCATATCCGAGTATCGTGCTCGGGTGACTCCCCAGTGCCCTGTCCCCGTCCCTCCCGGGGCTCCTCCTGCTCTCACGCCATTGGAGGCTTCTCTCTCCCCATTTGAGCGGCTAGTGCTTCCTCACCTCCCTAGAGTGGGAGTCCAGGGTAAGCGTGGGCGCATCCAGCCCCTTATCCTGCCCCCTCACTGCGAGCCCTGCCTGGAGCTCCTCCTGCAGACGCGGCAGGACGTCGGCGTGGACCCTGCAAACCCCTACGTTTTTGCCCGGCCCTACCACTCACCTGCCACGCCGCTGCGTGGCACCGACCTACTTCGCAGCCTAGCCCGCTCCAGTGGGACCCGCAACCCCCGTGCCCTGACCCAGACCAGAGTCCGCCGCCAGGTAGCCATCCTGACCCAGCTGCTGCTTCTGGGGGAGGGAGAGGAGCCCGGGCAGCCAGGGAGCAGCGCTGTGGAGCGGCTCGAGCACTTCCTGGAGAGGGAGTACCATGTGACACAGAATTGCGCCGGGATCGGCCAAGACCCAGGCCTTATGGGCAGAGTGGGCCGAGTGGTGCTCTGTGGAGAGAGAGACGGCGTGCTGTTCAGGGGAATGAGTCTGAACCACATCTGTCTGGAGCTGGATGGTAAGATGGCAGTTTTGTTATGTTTCCCAAACACCTCCTCTGTGCTGCCACTGTGGACAAATATTCAAGCTCTGCTCTTTGTGCGTTCTCCCTCTGACCTCTAAACACGTCTGCTCGTTTCCCCCGTTCAGTTATGTCGGGTAACTCCGCAGACTCGTACTCGGAGGGAGAGTCTGAAGGGGAGCACGTGAAGGAGAAGCCCGAGACGGCCGCCACAGATAATGTCCCGATCCCCCCACCTACCCTGCTGTATGTCAGGAAGGGCAAGAACAACGGGCGGGTGGGACGACCCAAGAAGCTCAAAAACATCCAGCCTCCGCCTCTTTCTCCAGCCCCCTCTCTACTACCACCACCCCCACCTGCGAAAAGCAGGAGAGGCTCAGGTAGGTCTGTCTGGAGTAGGTGTCCTTGAAGTAATAAAACAAAAAAATATATATATTTTTAAACAAATGTGAAAGTAAAACTCTGGAAGCCAAAAAGAAGGTGTCAGGGAATACTACTCTGATTTGGAACAGGATCGTGAAGCTTAACGATGCTGACATTGTTGAATCCATTCATGCACAATGTTACGGGTGCACATGCAATGAACCCATGATCTCTAAACCGGAGCGGTACGACCCAGTCCGATGTGTCGGACGTGACCTGGAACTATTATGAGCCGATTCTGTCACGAGCTAAATGCTCTGACGCAGAGGCAATGCCTGTAAATTCCCCCAGTGTAGCTCTTAAACACCCATAAACTCTTCAAGGTTTTAGTTGTCTCTGATGATGACAAATTGTCTCTTCGGGTGACCTCGATCTTGGTGGCTTTTAGCGATGGCTCACCTGTCAGGAAAGGCTTTTGGCTGTCTTTAAAGAGAACACTCTGACCACTTTCTGCTGGAGGTAAAGAACTGACTGGTTATGTTCTCACACAAACCTCATTTTTAAATTGAATTAAAAAGAGAGAGAAGACAGAAATGGCTGGAAATGTAATGAAAAGTTTGGAGATTGGATCTATGAATGAGCTCTCAATCAGGCTGGACGGGACGTCAACGTGCATGCTGTTGAACGGCGGTTAATCTGCTTCCCTGCCCTGCGTTTTTAGGAAAGCGCGGCGTCCTGAAGCGTCCCTGGTCGGAGGCAGAGCGCGCGGCGGTGGAAGAGCACCTGACCCAGAACATCAATGAGCTTCGGGTCCCCGCGAAGGCCGACTGCGAGCGCTGCCTGCAGCAGTGCCCCCTGCTGGTCAGCAACCATCGCGACTGGCGCGCCATCAAGTTCTACTGCCACAATCGCATCCAGCTGCTGAAGAAAAATCAGCGGCGGGAAAGCGAGCTCCAGCTGCCCCTCAGCGTCTGCTGAGAGACACAGAGAAGGGACAGAGAGAAAGGTGCTTCACATCTATTCCAGAGCAGAATCTTAACCTGCCGTCACAATGCTCCCGTTTCACGAGTTCCAAATCAGTCCGTAAATGACACGCCGCTGGTTTCTCTGGTCTTGGACGCACACTTGTCATTTCGCTTGGAGCTCTTTAAGAGCAGGCATCTCCGCCGAGCTGTTTGCCGTTCCATGACCAGCGGGCGCGGTGGCCCTGGTTTTTGAGGGTGTCTGTTCAGATCTGGGTGAAAACACTGCATTTGGACGGGCGTCTTCAGAAACCGCTTCACCGCCCTGTGTTCTTGTACATGAAGTTTTTTTTTCTTCTTCATTCGTAACAAATACACTATACTGAAATATAAGCAAGGAGTGCAGCTGATCCCTACAGTGTTGTTAGGAGCGTTGTTAAGTAGCATTCGTCTTTTACGCTCTAGGAGACGTTGATAGGACAAATGGCCCTCGCTGAGGCCACACTTTCCTTCATAGCAGCTTTATGATTAGAATAGGCCTAATTACAGCTAACAAGACATTTCCTCAGATAAGCTAGTTTTTCTGTTCACACAACTGTGCAATTCTGACTATGGTTTCACAACATTTGGACCTTAATCTACATGAAATGTTGTCAAGTTGACAAATGAGTTGACACTCTAGAGGTTTCTATGTTTTGTTTTTTCTTGTGCAATGACACTTCGAGATAGTAAAGATAGCTTTTCAGAGTGTGTAATTCATGATGGACACGATGAAATGGCCTCCGAATGTTTAGAAGTTACCTAAGATGTTGTGTTATGTCGCAAGATCCAGAAACAGAAGAGCTACTGTGAATTCTGTTGTCTCTAATCTGCTTTCCATGTTAGTGTCCGTAGTTCCAATCTGGCCCTGAGCAACAATCTGGTCCTCTTTCTTTCTTTCTGTCTTTCTTTCTGTCTTTCTGTCTTTCTGTCTTTCATGCGTGTTACCTGCTTGTTGCACAAAGCGGTAAGAAGGTGCTACAGGCCAATAAGCTGGATATCACTTTATGCCCGGAGCGGAGATGTAATTTGATTGTGTTAAAGGTTGCTTTAAGAAGCGGGCATTTATCAGAGCAGAGATTTTCCTTGAGTCGTCTGTGTTGTCTTTCCAGGTGGATAGAGCTCTCCTTGTCCTTCCCATCCCTACACACACACCACATGCAGCTCAGTCAGATTTGTAGTGTCACCTCGGTGTCGCTCAAAATCTGCGTTTATCGGACTAAAACCTCCACATAACCTCAAAGCAGATACTTGAACTTATTTGATCCTTTTGCAGAATCTTTAATGTTATCTTTCTCGCTCTAGCCTGGCCAGTTTTACTGTACATAGCAAAGATATTATCATAATGCTAACTGGTTGTTTGTGCTAGATACGTAGCTTTCTCCATTTCTGAGTTATTGCCATTTGTACATATGCCTGTTTTGTAAATACTCCTCAGAGATTCAAAGAAGGAACACAATGTATGACATGCCTTGGTTATTGTGTTATCTTTTTTCTTTTTTATAATCTTATAAAAACCTAAAGCTCTGAGCTTTGTGCTGCAGTTATTTATCATCACAGGTTTTCTTGAAGAGAAATAGTTGGCTCTGTTGAAAACATTTCTAGTGACATGTTTTTTTCTACATCTGTTTAGAAATGTACTTAAAATCAAGCACACGTTTAATTTCCTAATGTGGGGATATTTGATCGGACCAGTGTTTTTACTCTGGCGGGAAGTGTCATGGAACATAGTATTTGAAGTTTTTACAAAACTGAATAATCCGGAACGTTTCCAGGGGCCAATCCTGGAGACGTGCACATTATTACCAAATGAAAGGAGTCCAGAATCCCAGAAAACTAATTCGTAAATGGTAATTCTTGCTCTTAAAGGAAAGACATTTAAACCTTTGCAGGGTGGAACTGGGTAGATTTGGACACTACATTTAACGTTAATATAAATATCTAAAGTATATCTTAAAAGACTAGATCAAAATGACCATAACTGGTTTCTATAGCGACAATACAGTTTTGTATGAGGATACAATATTTCAAATGAAAAGGCAGACCAAGTGAATTACTGTGTGAAAAAAGCTCTTAATCACCATCGATAGCATGGACCGTTACATCTACCCATTCTCATGCAGTTTAAGTTGAAACCACAAGATGGAGCTGTTGTATCAAACTAATAAAACAGCTCTTGCACTTTTCCATGAAATTAGAATAGTCTCAACTGTTAAAGAAAAATTCCCTTTCTCCTCAGGGTCACGCAAGACATCCAGTTACAACCTGTTTTAGCAGGCACACTTTTATACAACATTGCGTTAAAGAAGGCTATGCAAATAACACAAGTGTTGAAAACGGGTTCTAAAGACGGGCCAACCAAAGCTGAAGAACTGGAGTGAGGAAAGACTTTGTTTTTGAGCTGTGGGAAACCTTTCAGCTGCCAAAAAATCAACCTGGAACAAACGCAAGAAAAGGGAAACCATTTACAACCTCCATAACAAAGAAGTTTAAAAAAACAAACAAACAAACAAAACAGAAATAAAAAAGGGGAATATCATAAGTCGTCTTTTTATTTACATTATTTTTTTTAATTGTTAAAAGGTGGAGCAGTAGAGGAGATTCAACAGCCTTTAAATATTTTTTGAAATTGGAAAAAAAAAAAAAGAGTCCAGAATAAACTTTACTCACATCAATAATGAGCTGGAGTCTCTTAATGCCGCTACCTGTAGTGAAGTTTAAATCCCCCCTCCATCTTTTTCTGTTGCGGCCCAGCAAGTTGAGTCGTGACACCTTGTGCCCGATGTTACAAACGCCTGCTGCCTCTCCAGGTCCATCAGCATGGCTGAGGAGCAGGCTCACTCTGGAAACAACCCGTTCAACCCCCTGCCCTCAGGGAGGCGCAGCAGGTCAGTACAAACCCAAACCTCGTGTTTCCCGCTTAAAGCCGGGCTCACTACACCACACATGCTGACACGCCCACTTTTAGACATTCATTTTTTTTGTCGTTTGCAATGTTTTTAACAGTGCAGCAGCTGTGTGACAATTGTGTTGTGTCAGTTGGACTTCTAAACATAAGACATGTGTGATGTGTCTGACTTTAAGTGAAGCTGAGTATAAAGTGAAATCCATCATCCGTCTTTTTTTCTCACTATTTCTGTTTTTACCATGGTTTTATTGTATTGTTGGATAGGTAAATGTAACTTGTGACGGATCTGGCATATGCCAAGTGTGGTTCTCTGTTTCCCCATGAAGCCGATGTGGCTTGATGTGGCCTTCTTTGTCTTTCTTGCCTCTGTTTGTTCTTCGCCAGCTTCAATCGCACACTTAAAGCCACGTTTTAGTCATTGATCCTCACAGCCGAAAGCCGTCTGAAGATTCCTCTGGGTAAATGAAGGCCAGCTGCATTAAGACTTTTAAACACTGGATACATTAAATATAGCAGGAAATGTACCCACAGAGCCCACTGAGTCTGCAGAGCTGCTTCTTCACATTTGACACATGTTTCGTGATGGCACGTGGATGAAAACATCCCCCCACTGATGTTCCGATGTGCAGCGATCACATTTCCGATTTCCGGCTCCTGCTGGCAGCGTGTTGACTTATTTGTGAGCCCTACACGTATCTCCAAACATTTCCCGGCCTTGTCCAAGGTGCACAGAGGGTTGAATTAGAAGAGGCGCACCAGTTCATCTGTCCATACATACTTTATTTGCAATAATACGAAGCTCAGAGTGCTGAGAGTGTGGTGGTGTGACCCTCCCAACTAAAAGGTCTCCTATAAGGGGCAGTATCTCTAACTTTACCTAAAACTTTTACAATATGAGGGTCTTACCTAACCTATTGAACAAATAAATAAAAACCATGACTTTTCACTCAGGTAGATGCCAAACTAATCAAATCGTGTTTGCCGAAGATCATGTGAAAGAGTAATGGGTCAATGCAATATGTGAACATTCTGACCAAGAGAAATAACTTAGGAAAACCCCCCAAAACAACTACCAGTGCACGTTCTAATGTCAGATAGGTGGCATCCTTATGTTAACAGAGAACTGATATGATTGCACACTGTTGGGCCCACAGTCCTATTCGGGGCTAATTCCTTTTGTCTGCATCACATCACGCACACAAAGGTAAAGCAATTTGTCACTCACAAACGACATTATGTTCTGACCGCCTGATGTCACGCTGGTGTGGAAGCCTGAGGACACATAAAACAGTCTTGACCGCATGGAGAAATGAATGGATAAAATGCAGCCAATCGGGATAAAGGCTCTACCATCTTTAAATGGCTACAGACCTGTGATGGAGAGGGTGGGTACTGTAAAATGTTTGCATGTCTAAGAGACAGTGCTTTTTCTTTGAAGATAGCACTTAACCAGATCCATAATCTTCTTCTGCAGTTGACAAAGGTCTGTGCTCATTCCCTCTGAGTACTGAGCTATTTCCATTAGTCCTCTGTGGCGGTGGGTACAGATAGCTTTTTATTATCTGTTATGAGCCATTATGTCTCTGCAGAGCAATGGGGATTAGCACTGCTTTCTGCCCCTTAGCTGCTAGCCTATCAGTGGCCTTATCAAATAGTTGCTCAGGTGGGATGAATATGCTAAGACGGATCATTAAAAGAGTTAGAAAAATGCAATCAAACATATCTTAACAGACACCTATTTGAAAATGATTGTATTTGATTATCATTAGACCAATGCTTTTTTGCTCATGCTTTTCTTTTCTTCTTTTTTTTCCTTTCAAGTTAAGATGGAAGAGAAATCAGCTGTTTGATCGCTCCCAGCTTCCTGGCAGGGAACGGCATAATCTATACATTTAATAAGTACAGTTCACCCACAGATAGCAATTTGAATCCATCCTGACATACATTATTTTCTGTTCCACCGACTCGATCTGTATTTAGATTTAATGGTAAATATTATTACGTAATGAAAAGATCAAGATTTTAGTTCAAGGCTTCAAGGAGCTATTATTGAGCCAATGAAATATTTAAGTGTTTATTTACAGAGATTGGATAGTTTGGTATTAATTGCTTAATATTTTCCAGCTTTTTAATTATTGAGGAGGCTATTAAGAAGAGATATAACTGGAGTCACAAGTAATTATAAATGATTGTTTTAAAAATTATATTAACTGGCATATTATTACTTTTCCATACAGTGAGCAGTGCAGACCTATAGGGTAACTATGTGCCATCCTACGAACGGAAGAAATGCACAACTTAACCTTCAAATCATGATCTGCCTTAGAAATAGGAAGTCAAAACTCTTTTTCTCTGGAATTTAGCTTTTCTTAGACCAGTAACTAATATTTATCCTGGCTAATCTTTTTTTTATTTTTTTTAGATCTACTCTTCCAGGGAGTTCTTGATAAAGTCTAAATGTCAGCGCTATATATATGTTCAAATTGTACAAAAAAGGCTAAACAAAATGTCCCATATATTTTGTCCCAGTTAATATCTTGGAAAAATGTCCCCCCCAATGGTGTAGTCTGTCCCTGAATATCCTCACTGTATGAAATATTTGTTACACTATATCACACATGTTGCAGGTGCATAGACACACAGAGGTAATGTGGCCCTGATTAGATAATCTTCATCATCTTGCTGTTAATGTTATAGAGAAGTAAACCTAACGGTTATTTATCAGATGGGAAGAGGGAGCTGGTGTAGACTTATGTGTTCATATTATATTGGCTTTATGTTGTGCATGGAAAATGTGTTGTTTTTGGTGCCCCATATATATAGTTATAGTAGTTCATGCAGGGCTGTATCCCTCCACTTGAAAACAGACGTTTTCCAAGAGACAGGTTCAATTTTCTTGGCTGCATGACCTATTACATTGAATGAACAGCTCATGATTTGTTTACTTGTGTGACATTTCATCGGGTTAGTCATTGACTGTATTCACAGGCGTTGGAGATGTGGCCATGGGGCAAATCTACCGGCCGTGCATCTGCTGTGTGTTCAAGACTGTTCATACTAAACAGGAACACTAGATCAGTTTGCTTAATGGAAGATTTCCAAAACCCCCAAAACAATTAAATTATTCAGGTGAGTTAAACTGCTACTAAAGTTTATCAGACAATGCATTTTCTGCTTCTACAAATACAAAGGTATGTATTGTACACTGTGCTTTCACAGAGTTTTGTATGTTCAAAAGTTCCATTTGAATGTGTCTTCGTCCAGAAAAAACAGCCCTCAAAGCACTGAGTCTATCATGAATAAAACAGACAATTGATTTAGAAAAGGAACGTTTGATTGTAATGTAACGAATAGGTGTAGAAAGAATTTAATAAATAAGTCTTAGCAAGATAGCAAACTCAGATATTTGACAGGAGACATTCTGCCTATAATAGAGAATGGTCCTTTTCCCTTTTCACTGATGTAAGAAGAAATTGGATTATAGGTCTTTTTCATTTTATACAAAGACACAGTTGGTTTGAACAAAGTCAAGAAAAACTGGATTTTCACTCAAGAATTTCCAGATATAGTGTTACCTAAGAGTGAAAAGGTGCCAATAGAGGGATAAAGGTGCCTAAAGACA